AGGGCCTTGTGAAGCGAATGTAGTGAAGGTCAAGTAAGGACCATGTTTAAAGGTATTCCATGAATTAAGATCTGGACAGTATTGATGTCACTCAATTGTTTGCAACATGTGAGTATATTTAGGCTGTGTCCTATGTGGGTGATGATGATCCCGCCTAATAGATACTGCTGAACCATAGTGTTTGACATGGGATAGGGACAATGTATGTGATGAAGGATACAAGTTCCCCAGGAGGATGACCTAGTAAAAGCCATATAGTAAGGTATGATTAGTTTATCGATATCGTGTAGTGTGGGGGGTATTATGCAACCCCTGTAAGTGGATGTCATGAAAATGAAAAGCCCAATGAAGTACTGATTGCAAAGTCCCATTGAGGGCCTTTTGCAAGGACTATGTATATGAGACCGAGAATGGGCCCAATGTAAGTCCTGTGATACAGGGTAGCCACGTGAGGCTGTGATAAAAGTAATGGAGGGGGTGATTTGGTAGACCAGTTATAGGTTGTAGAGTTGTGGAGAAGTAGCAATTAAAGGAAATATGATAGTAATGAGACAGTAGAGAAACCTATGGTTTACTACTACTACTACTACTAATAATAAATGTCTAGTTTGTGAAATGGTTAACAGAGACCATAAGAAATACACATGTTAAAAGTTATACAATACATACTTACTGAACCAGTTGAACAGAGGGTATAAAAGAGAATTTACAACAGGAATGAGGTTTAGACCACTAGAATGTAATAGTGCTGATTTTTTTTTATGCCGTGAGCTAAACGTAGGAGGAGACAAAATTTATAAGACATACAATTTTAAAATGTCTAGCTTGTGAAATGGTGAACATAATATTTTTATTTTATTATTTTTTTTTATATACAATCAGGGCCGCCATCAGGGGGTGACAACCATAACGGTTGTCACGGGCCCGGCGGTCTTGGGGGGCCGGACTGCTCTGGGCCCCACAATTACTCTCTGCACAAATATATAGCGATGATCGCTATATTTGCAGAGGGGGCCCAGCGGACTGCAAGTGTACTTACAAGCTCTTCCCTCTCTGTAACTCCCGCGAGACCCACGGCCGTCAGTGTGTTGCCATGGGTTACCATGGCAATGCTCCGCGCGGCACGCACGCCGCGCTCGCGGGAGTTACAGAGAGGGAAGAGTTTGTAAGTACACTTGCAGTCCGCTGGGCCCCCTCTGCAAGTATAGGGAGCCAGGGGCCCCCACAATGCCACCGGACCACTAGGGATCATGGAATCTTCCCCCCCCCCTGAACCAGGTAAGAACCAGGGAGGGGGGAATAACCTTTTTGGAATGCTCCATTTACACTACATGCATACACTACACTAACACACACTGCATTCACTACACTAACACACATTCAGCATTAACTACACTGACACACACTCTGCATCCACTACACTAACACACACTCTGCATTTACTACACTAACACACACTCTGAATTCACTACACTAACACACACACACTGCATCCACTACACTGACACACACTCTGCATTCACAACACTAACACACACTCTGCATTCACTACACTAACACACACTGCATTCACTACACTAACACACACACACTCTGCATACACTACACTGACACACACTCTGCATTCATCACACTGACACACACTCTGCATTAACTATACACACAGCATCCACTACACAAACATCCTGTATTCACAGTACACATAGTACATCCACCACACATTCAAACACTCTGCATTCACTATACAGAGACACTGCATCTAATACACACACTACATCCACTGCATCCACTAAACACATTGCTTCTAGTACACACAAACACTACATCCACTACACAAACACACACTACATCCACTACTCAAACACACTCTGCGTTCACTATACACACTGCATCCGCTACACAAACACACACTCTGCATTCACTGCACAAACAGTATCTAATACACACAAACACTACATCCATTACACACATTCTAATTCACTTCCACTATACACATCACATTCAGTCCTGCATCATTTGCAGCAGACTAGGTAGGGGTCCTGTGGGCGGACTCGTGGGTGGGCTGGGCGGGTGCACAGACCTTATGCTTTGTCAGGGGCCCTAAAATTTCTGGTGGCGGCCCTGTATACAATACATACGTTTATTAGGCATACTTGTGAAATGCTTAGGAGGATGATCAACACTTATGCATACATAATTGGTATGTCACAATAGGGTTGAAAGGAACGGCAAATTCTAGTTTAACGTAGAGTAACATGCATTAATGTGAAGCTAGTGACGGTCGAATCGAATGGCAGTACCATGTGTTAGAGGCCCTGTAGGGCTTGTTAAAACACCCTTATAAATTTAATCCCAATAAAAAATAAAAATAAATAAATGCATATTTTCATTTTGGGTATATCTATTTTTGGGGGGGGGGCAGTGGAGTGTCCCCAAGTGGCAGACCTGGTTCGTGACATGTCTTGATTAAAGTGCGACTATAACATATTTAGATGAGGGCCATGTATTTGGCCACATAACCATAGAACAGACAATTATGACAGACAATTTTAAAGTACGATTGACTATGCCCGTGCATAGCCCAGAAAGGGGTAAAACAATCTAAGTATTGACAGACAGTGAAATAAGTCAGATTACTAAAAAACAAAAAATAAAAACAAAAGTTTTAGACTTTAGAAAAACAGACTTTTCTAAAATTAGAATATGTGTAGAGGAGTATCAGACTGGAGCAATTTAAATGGAGTGCAAGAGAAATGGGATTATTTAAAAGTTGCACTACTGAAGGCAACAGAAAATTGCATTAGGCTTGTCAGTAAAAGCAAAAAATTCAAGAAACCACTGTGGTATCGCCCAGGAGGTGGGAGGGTCTGGGAGGGAGGGTCTGCTGCTGCTTGGCTGGAATGTGTCTGCTGACTGTGAGGTACAGGGTCAAAGTTTACTCAATGATGATGAATAAGGGGTGGACCGAACAGCGCATATGATCGCCGTCCGCGGCGAACCGTTCGGGACATCACTACTGTGGTACTCCGCTGATGTGGCCAAAATAGTAAAAAACTAAAAGTTAGCATTTAGTAATTATAAAAAAAACTAGAGTGAGGAAGACAAAATGATCTATAAGATTAGGCAGAAAGAGGCTAAGCAAGTTATAAGAGCTTCCAAATCACACACAGAAGAGAAAAAAGCACAGTCAGTAAAAAAAGAGGGACAAAACATTTTTTAGATACATAAATGAGAAAAGAAAAGTAAAACAAGGATTAGTTAGATTAAAAACAAAAGAAGGAAGGTATGTAGAATAGAATAAAGGTCTAGCTGACTGCCTCAATTTATATTTTTGTTCAATATTTACAGATGAAAATTAAGAAAAGGGACCTCAGTTAAGAAAAAGGATAAATGAGTCATTTATTACACGTGAGTTTACAGAGGAAGAGGTTCTATTTCAACTGTCAAAATTAAAGACAAATAAGTCAATGGGACCTGATGGAATACACCCAAAGCTATTAAAAGAGCTTAGTGGTGTACTAGCAAAACTATTAACAGATTTATTTAACCAATCATTGTTAACAGGAGTAGTCCCAGAAGATTGGAAGTTAGCAAATGTTGTGCCCATTCACAAGAAAGGTAATAGGGAGGAGTCAGGGAATTATAGGCCAGTAGTAAGCCTTACTTCAGTAGTGGGGAAAGTGATGGAAACCACATTAAAGGATAGGATTGTTGAACATCTAAAAACACATGGATTTCAAGATCAGAGACAACATGGGTTTACTTCAGGGAGATCATGCCAAACTAATCTTATTGATTTTTTTGATTGGGTAACTAAAATAATAGATCAGGGTGTTGCAGTAGACATTGCATACCTAGATTTCAGTAAGGCTTTTGACACTGTTGCACATAGAAGGCTTATCAATAAACTGCAATCTTTAAGTTTGAATTCCAATATTGTTGAATGGGTAAGGCAGTGGCTGAGTGACAGGCAACAGAGGGTTGTAGTCAATGGAATATATTCGAAGCTTCGCCTTGTCACCAGTGGGGTACCTCAGGGATCTGTACTTGGACCCATTATCTTTAATATTTTTATAAGTGATATTGCAGAAGATCTTGATGGTAAGGTATGCCTTTTTGCTGAAGATACTAAGATATGTAACAGGGTTGATGTTCCAGGAGGGATAAGCCAAATGGCAAATGATTTAGGTAAACTAGAAAAATGGTCAGAGTTGTGGCAACTGACATCTAATGTGGATAAGTGCAAGATAATGCATCTTGGACGTAAAAACCCAAGGGCAGAGTACAGAATATTTGACAGAGTCCTAACCTCAACATTTGACAAAAGGGATTTAGGGGTGATTATTTCTGATAACTTAAAGGTAGGCAGACAAGGTAATAGAGCAGCAGGAAATGCTAGCAGAATGCTTGGCTGTATAAGGAGAGGTATTTGCAGTAGAAAGAGTGAAGTGCAGAACACTGGTGAGACCTCACTTGGAGTATCCTCTTCAGAAGGATCTTGATACCTTAGAGAGAGTTCAGAGAAGGGCTACTAAACTGGTTCATGGATTGCAGGATAAAACGTACCAGGAAAGGTTAAAGGATCTTAACATGTATAGCTTGGAGGAAAGACGAGACAGGGGGGATATGAACATATAGAAACATTTAAATATATAAAGGGAATCAACACAGTAAAGGAGGAGACAATATTTAAAAGAAGAAAAACTACCACAACAAGAGGACATAGTCTTAAATTAGAGGGACAAAGGTTTAAAAATAATATCAGGAAGTATTACTTTACTGAGAGGGTAGCGGATGCATGGAATAGCCTTCCAGCTGAAGTGGTAGAGGTTAACACAGTAAAGAAGTTTAAGCATGCGTGGGATAGGCATAAGGCTATCCTAACTATAAGATAAGGCCAGGGACTAATGAAAGTATTTAGAAAATTGGGCAGACTAGATGGGCCGAGTGGTTCTTATCTACCGTCACATTCTATGTTTCTATGTTACTAATAGGCAGTACCATAAATGCTGAACACATGTGTAGGCCCAAGTTTGGGCCTGACATGAATTTAGATAGTCAGTAGCAACACTTAGGCACATAATTACATAATTAACAGTTTAGGCCCAATGAGAGTCTGAATTATAATAGGGAAACCATAGAAAAATACATATAGGTACTGAGGCCTGGTAAATATAAGTAACAAAAGCTGCAAAAATGAATATGGCATAGGATTATACAAAAGAACGCAGGGTGAATAAATTGCATATTATAAAATACGATATGTTTGAATACAGTAAGCCTACATGAACCGAATTATCACTGTGATGCTGTGATTGAAATAAGCCATGTTTGGTTAATGGTGAAATTCGCCATACCCAAATGAGGAACGAATACGGACTGAAAGGCTAATTTCACCCTCATTCGTGAAAGGCCAGATGTGGGCTGAATACATGTGGAATGTCAGTGATAGCATGGACCAACGCGGACCAAAACAAACTTACAGTTTTGCTGAAAAACACGTTAACAGCAACAGGAAAAGCCACGGCTGGGCAGGATGTGGCAGTGCCCCATGAGCTTCGAGGGAGGGCTGTTTTTTACTTGAGTGAGGTAAAATGAATACTTGTATTGGCCTCACTAGGCCAATGCCAGCTTGTTTGTTTGGAGTTCAGGTAGCTTGTGTTGATGACCTTTGAACCGGAAGTAAATGGTTCTGTACTGAACCAGGAAGTAGAGGCCTGTGAATATATAGGCCAGGTAAACCCCTCCCACAACTACAGGCTCTGCCTTTCCATATATATATATATATACATACACACATATATATATATATATATATAATTTAATTCTAAGTGTATTTTGGTAGATATATATATATATATATATATATATATATATACATACACATACATATACATACATACATACACAGTATCTCACAAAAGTGAGTACACCCTTCACGTTTTTGTAAATATTTTATTACATCTTTTCATGTGCCAACACTGAAGATATGACACTCTGCTACAATGTAAAGTAGTAAGTGTACAGACTGTATAACAGGGTAAATTTGCTGTCCCCTCAAAATAACTCAACACACAGACATTAATGTCTAAACCATTGGCAACAAAAGTGAGTACACCCCCAATTGGAAATGTCCAAATTAGCCATTTCCCCTCCCCGGTGTCATGTGACTTGTTAGTGTTACAAGGTGTCAGGTGTGAATGGGGAGCAGGTTTATTAAATTTGTGTTATTGCTCTCACACTCTCTCATACTGGTCACTGGAAGTTCAACATGGCACCTCATGGCAAAGAACTCTCTGAGGATCTGAAAAAAGGAGTTGTTGTTGTTTGTTTTTATTTGAATAGCTATCCCTTCATCTCTGTGCCTGGATACATATCCACCTCCCTCAGCTTTATTGCAAGCCTAAGAAAACCAGAAACCCCACAAACCTCATCACAATACCCTGCTCTTTACCCTCACTTACCAACATTCAGTGTGCATTCTGGAACGCCCGCTACGTCTGCAGCAATTTAAAAATCATCAGCCATACATGACTTTTTCATCTCAAACTCACTCACACTACTTGTACTTAGAGAGACCTGGCTGTCCCCCTCTGATAGCGCTACTCCTGCCTCTTTATGTTTTGGTGGGCTACTATTCTCTCACACTCCCAGACTCAACTGTAAAGGAGCTGGTGTAGGCATCCTTCTCTCCCCTCAATGTACCTTTCAACCAATCATAACTCCCCCTGCCCTATGCCTTTCTTCTTTTGTTCACACTGTACGCCTATTTAAACCCACTTCTTTAAGAATTGCTATTATCTACCACCCCCCACCCCCCCGTCATCCTAGGCTATTCATTGAGCTCTTTTCTTCTTGGCTTCCCCACTTCCTCTCATCTAGCACTCCTTCCCTTATACTTGGGGATTTCAATATCTCAATTAACAACCCCTACTGCACTGATGTCTCTCGTCTGCTCTCTGTAACCTCCTCCTTTG